TTCCTCATTGGAAGTCACGAAAAGCGGTGGGTTTTTCGAGAAGTTGTTGATCGTGTAATTACCAAAGAGCCTTTCGTCTTTGTGTAAGTGTTATTGAAGCGTTTGGCCTAGTAGATTGTATATCAGTATACCCTTCCATGCTCTGAAGAAGGCGATACTGCCGAAACGTCAGCTAGCGTTGTATTGTATTGTGTTTTTATGGAAGTAAATGTATGCTGTTTAAAAACTTCACGATTGCTGAACAAGAGAACAATTGGCCTCAATTTTTTCTAAACAACAAACACATTTTCTTAAACAACACCTTCAACCATTTCTAATCACAATATTATGTTTCTCCTCTCTCAATGAAACCATTGGGTATTATCTTTGTTTCAGTGGTATTTATTTAGCGAACAAGACCGAATAAAGTAAATACCTGTTCCCTAACTAAAGCAGAGTGCTATGCGAAAAAAAACCACAAAAATCCCGACATATGAGTAAAACTCGGAACCTCAGGATCTCTGGTGGGTTTCGATTCCGTGATTACCTTTTACAAGCGCTCACGTGCTATCTACCGTACCAACCAGACCCTTGATTTTCCGTTCACACAGTCTTTGGTTCAGCGGTGATAGTACACAGTGTTAGTTGGCCCTGTATAAAAATTAAATACTGTGATCTCGACTGTAGCTTCAGCTTAACTGGGTTCAACGTCGATTTGTGCTCCCCAGACCACCCCCGTTGGATGATTGCCTATAATATGGTTGTAGTAAAAAATGGCCGACAGGAAGGCAAAGCAAGGGTCATGGCTGATGTGGTAGATAGCAGGTGGGCCGCGAAAAGGGTAATCATTGCTCCGAAGCACATCTGACGTTTGGGGTTTCGCTCATATCTAAGCATCCTTGTGGTTGTGTTCCTCGAATAGTTCCTATTTTCAAAACCACCTTCAGCTTCCTGTACCAATTATGTTTGCAGTTACCCAAATTTATCCTTCCGCTGGAGAAAAACCATCTGGAGTTCTTCCCACTGAGGTTCGAGTTACAACAGAGAGCATGAAAAAAGCACACCGCCACGACACTAAAGCATGACCGCCGAATTTCTTAGAGCTGGAAGCCAGCCACAATTTACATGTACATATCGCATCTCATATGATGTTCTACCTTCAAAAAGAAAAAATACCAGACCAGTGGAGGATGTCGCACATAGTCATCCTGCCCAAGAAAAGTGACCGAAAGGATCCTCTTAACTACCATTCAACATGCTGGTGCAATATAGAACATCCAAACGATGGGCGGACGTGTTGGTGACCGAATCCAACCATCTGCATTCGCAGACGGAAACGTTTTTAGGAATTCGGAATGGGCCTCACGGAAGTCACCATGATCGAAGCTAACCAGCAACATGGAGGACGATTGCACGAGATAGAAACGAATGGAACCTACGCTGAGACCTGCACCACCAGCAAAGACGGATCATCCGAGTATTCAAGTAAGTATTCCATATGATTGATAGATGACGATGGAAATCCTGTTTTCGCTCAGCGGGATTGATACCAAAACACTGTATCCGCAAAAATGTCGGCGCTAGCTTTTCCCACTGGCACTTTTTTCAGGTGAATTCAGTAACTTTTTATTCTCGTCTTTTCCATGGTCCTCTGCAAAAGCCCTCTTTAGTCCTAAAAATCCTACTTGATATTTATGCGAGCTGCTATCATAGGAAGCCTGAAGGTTCAGGCAATCTTATGAGACCCTTTCGAATCTCGAAAAGTTTAATGATGGCAATGATATGATTCTACACCATTTGATAAAATAATAGAAGCACATTCAGCATATATTTGTAATTTTTTGAAACCAACTCTTGCTCTACACTGATAATCCTCGATGTGTATTCAAGCATTAGAACGATTTTACCTAAAATGCTTTGTTTGCATAGAACTCCTAATCCTTATTACCAGCTAAAACAGTTCTATTCCAATACTTAAGGAGAATAGAATCATAACCAGAATGATGCTGAGGTATTTACAAAACACTGGACCGTTGGTGCCTGCGGTGAAGATCGAACACGCTATTATTACCCTTTCCGGAGGTTAACTTTAGCTAACGGGGGCTCGGAGTTTTGCAAATATCTCAGCACCATTGTGGTTATTTTCACATCATACCCTTCCATGAAAAAAGAACAGGCATAAAATAAAAAGCGATTAAATAGAATCATAGTCATAGTGGATTCATATCTGGCGCTAACATTGGTCGCAACTCAAAGAAATTGACGCATCTCAATCATAGAATCCAGATGACTCAGAAATCAACAAAAAACACAAGAGTAAAGATTCAATTCCGGATGTGGCGAATTTGAGCAATAGCGAGGATCATTTGTGTAAATGCATCTGAACTAAGGAGATTTGGTGTAAAGAGGATATTTAGCGTTAACCAAAACACGTCTGGACTGTACACAGATCTGTAACACCTGTCACCCGTAGCCCCATTGATCATCGAGTGACTCGAGCGAGCACCAGTAAATCTTCTATTTTTCCCTGTTGAGTGCAAGAGTCGCCCGGTGGTTTCTACTCGTTCTAGGGACTCGTCGAGCATCATATCTTTCTTCAAGGTTCTTTGTGAAGAATTCTGACCATCGGGTCTGTAATCTTCCTGCAGCACGTTTGACATTCCGAGGAATCAAGTCACTAACGGCTCTTGTCCATCGGTTGTTATTCATACGCATTACGTGTCCAGCCTACCTTACCTTCGACTGTTCGGCGTACAGAACGGCATCTTTGATTTTTCATCGATGACGCAGATCAGAGCTTCGAATCCCATCGCTTACTTGCGTAAAACGGGATACTTATAGCATCGTTCTTTCGACTGTGTATTAAATAACACTGAGTGATCTTTCATCCTGCTTACGCAGCGACCAGGTTTCTGACGCATAAGTTAGGGCAGGAAGTACCGTTGAGTCAGAAGGGTGGGTACGGAGTCGGGGGTACTTTTTCCTCTTCGTTATATCCTCTATGCTCTTGAAAGCTACCGAAACCGCTCCTTCCCTTCTGCTCTGCTCTGGAGCTAAGTCGTTCATCATATTGATTTCCCAACCTAGATAGATATAACCGGACCATCCGGAGAAATTCGCTCCGTTGAGCGTAAATGGGGCATGTGAAACCAATCCGTTCTTCATGAACATCGTTTTTGTGAGATTTAGTCGAAGACCAACCTTTCTACTGGCTTTATCAAAGTCGGCCAACATTCGCTCCGCTTGGCTAATGTTTGGTTTTATAAGGACGATGTCACCAGCAAAGCGAAGATGGTGTAACTGCTGAAAATCGATTTTCACTCCCATATTATCCCATTCCAATGTTCGGATGACGTTCTGGAGAGTAGAGGCAAATAATTTTGGCGAGATGGTATCGCCTTGGTTAACTCCTCTTTTGACGTCAATGTTAACACCGTTGTAGAATGGTGATATCTTGGTTATGAAATTTTTGTACAGCTCACGAAAAATCTTTATGTACTGCGCAGGGACTCCTTGACTATTATGGGCTGCCAAGACTGCTTCTACCTCAACTGAATTAAATGCCTTCTGTAAACCGATGAAAGTGAGACAGAGCGGTTTTTTGTACTCTCGCGATACTTCGATGAGCAGTGTTACCGTGTGGATGTGATCCATCCTACTAAATCTTTTTCAAAACCCTGCTTGATCTCATAGCTGTCCTTCCAGTGTTCTTTCAATCCCGTTTAGGACGACTCGAGTGAAAAGTTTGTAGACGACAAATAGTAAGCAGATTGGGCGATAGTTGCCGATATCATGTAGGTCACCCTTGTTGAACAATAACACGGTCTTGCTGGTCTTCCACTGAGTAAAGACCTTGCATTTAGGCAGGTAACGTGTGAAGAGTCGACCCAGTGTGTTTACGAGGATTAGCAGACGGTTCCTCAGGTGTTCTCCTCTTATCCTGCCCGGACCTGGTGCTGTTCGATTTTTCACCATGGCATGTCGGATTACGGTAGGAAGAACCGGTGGTACAACATATCCATTCTCCTTTATTTCATATGAGGGAATGTGGACGTGGCTATCAAAGAGATCTGAGTAGTATTCGTCAATGATTTTCTCCATTGCCTTTTTGGACGCTGTAACTGTACCGTCTGGGCGTCGGAGTTAAATCATCTTGGTCTTGTAATTGGCGAAGCATCGGTGGGCTTCGCGAATGCTTTTCCCAGCGACTGCAGCTTCGGCCATTACTGCTACTCTTCTCTGTTTAAGATCTTTTATCGCCTCTAGGCGTTATTTTGCAAGTTCGGACGTTAGTTTGCGGTTACCTGCAGCTGACACGATTCCGCGCTTGCGTATCAGCTCGAGTGTTTTTGGAAACAGACGTCTCTTGCTGACTTTCGAAATATCAGCTTTCATAGCGCTGAGGTGAAGATGCTGAATGAGCCGATCGTACTCTTCGCCGATGTTATCGACAATGGCGTCTTCCCAACAGCCGACTAATGAATTAAGTAACTCCCAGTTTACGGTTGTTCTGGGAATTCGGTTTTGGAATGTAGCGGCTTTTTCTCCTTTCCGCGAGAAATAGAATCTCGTACGATGAAGACGATGGTCCGGTCCCGTGTAGAATTTTGGGGCAACAGCGACAACAGCTAGGCAAAAGCTTCGATTTACTATGTTGTGGTCTATTTCGTTATGGTACTCTCCATTGGGAGACTCCCACGTCCAGCACTGAGGGTGAGACTTCTGGAATTGCCAGTTACCATGGATTGTCTTGATCGCCATGATAAACTCAGACAACCGCTCACCCTGTTCGTTCCATTCTAATCCGTGGAACTCATTGTGACGTTCTTCTTGGTCCAATCTTGGTGTTGAAACCTCCAATGATGACCTTGAAGAATGTGTGGTCTTCTCTTTAGAACTTCTCCAAGTCCATTTAGAACTACTGCGTCGTAGTTTGATGTGGGCACGTAAACGACGAACATTGTCAAAGCCGGAATTGATCCACGTCTTTTTAATCGTAAACATCCGATGCGGGTTGTAAGTTATTCGAATGAATCGATGTTCATGGACAAACTCGTGTTGACGGGAACGGCGACGCCGCCGACTCCTCCACTGTCGCATGTTGCGGGGAACAGTTCTTCCCCGGTGTCATAGACGGCGTTGAATGGGTGGCGCCGCTTCGTCTCAGCCAGGCCGATGACGTCGTACCTTATCCTTCTCGCTTGCATGTCTTCTATCAAGAACTCGGATGCAAGTGCACGTGCATTATAGACACAGATCGTCACCATAGTTCCTTGTAATCCAGGCAGCTTCTATTGGCCCTGAGATTTTAGCAACCTCTCCGCACTCGTCCTACACAATGCGGCGAAATTGGGGGCTCCTTCGGGGTCAGAGGAATGATACCCGTTTCTTTTTCTACTGTGTTTAGCATTTCTGATACGCACATATAGCTTGCTGGGCTCTGAACATGGGGGCTGAGTATACTCGCGGCTAGCTTGCCAGGCTCTCCCAGAGTGGACATGGAGCTTACTTGTTGGAGGGACTCCTAACCGCCACCCATATACTTCCCAGTCGCTTGATTGCAGGCTTTCGGCTGAATTGACGTGTAGAATACAATCCGCCTAAGCGAGAATGCACCCACATACGCATGCATGAATAGGCCTAGCAAATACAGAAAGTATGTGCCAAATAAGCGCAGCAGAAACAAGAAGTCCATTCCCTCGATCCATCTGCGTCTCAGGGTAGCAAACGCCGCTTTTGGTCCGCGATCAGCCCCCCATCCGCCACCTGGGGACGCGCCACCTAAACTCACGACTAATCGGCTCGAGATCCCCTCATATGAGAGAGGTCCGTGGACACAGTTCTGTATTATAGGAATCCGTTTTTGCAATGATAATCTTCGATAAAATTTCAAAAAATAACGAAATTCTAGGTGGAAAACTCAATGCACGACATGCGTTTTCCAGTATACACAGAAAATGCTACACGAATAGGAAAAGGTAACAGATAGCGCGTCCGATTCCCCCTCTCACCTAGACAACTGTGGTCTAAAGTTCTGCGAATATCGCATATAATGCACCGTTATGGTTATACAAATAGTGCCCAATTACATATGAATTGACATATTCAAAGAATGGAAAAATCTATCGAATAGAACCAAAATTTTGAATGCTACGACTAGACGATACTTCACATTGAACCGCATGAAACCAGAGCAAAGTCAAAGTCAACGTGAGGAAACCAAACAGCAAATGGTAAGAACGATTTCAAACAAGCTAAAGTTGGTGGCCTGCGAAAAGAAGGACTAAAAAATACTTTTAAATTAAATAAACTAGTTTTCTCACAAGAAAAATCAATAGAACTTGCGGAAGAGGAACAAAAGAGGAACAAATGCTTTCCCCACTTATTATAATTTCCCAGTCTCTAGAAGTTTCTTGAATGACGAATAAATAAAACACATTTACGACAGAAGCAAATTGTGAAATAGAATGGACAATCACCTCCATATTAAAAAAATCAACCAATAACAATACTCTTCATTTCAACACAACAGTATAGTCCTCGATCTACTGAAAATAACAGAAAACGTGGTATAGCTTAAAGCTAACCGTAAAACTTTAACAACAACATTAACATTACTATGTTCTAAAACAAAAATCTGAAGACCTGTACAAAAGAACTATTGAGCTAATAGAAGAACAAAACGACAAGTGCTCCTAAAGCTATATTGCCACTAATTGACTAAACACAAGACAATCTACAGCTCAATGGGCCTTATTTCCAATTTCGTACGTTTGACTTCCCATTTTTGAAATTGTGACAACTGAATGAAAAATGGCAGGAGATGGAAGCGAAGAGTGAAATAAATTCAAATACTTGAACAGATACAGCCTATTATGAACATCACTAAAATCCTAAACCTATGAACCCCTAGTCAGAGCTCGTTTCTTTATACAGCTGTCAACAAACGGAATATATGGTAAAGGCGTGTATGTTCTGCACGATTGCCACTGCTTTCCTCAGTTTGCAAATGGAGCTTGTAAATCGAACATAACGTTTTCAAAACCCCTGCTTATTCATGACCTCTACCATTACCATACAACCAATCTAAAATGATTCATAACGGAAGTGGCAATGGACCGATGGATCGATTCATCGGGAATGCAGCAATCCGAGCATCGAAAGATTGAAGGAAGTTCTAAAGCAGAAGTGATTAACTACTGTGCAGTACAGAAAACTATAGTGTAAACAGCAGTCATGAAGCATTATGCTATTGTTCTTATGAATCGTCAATTTTGATGAACAGCATACGAAACATCGAGCAAAAACCAAACAGCAGGACAGTGTAAAAAATTAGCGTATTTTCCTACTAAGGTAAAATAAAAACTTCCAAAAAACATTTGATACATGACTGCCCTGAGTTACTGTTTTGACAAAGACGTATCCTTAGAAAAAGTAAGACAAAAATGAAAAAAATGAATGCATTGACGAAAGCTGTCCTAAAACAAACGGCTCATTATAGAGCGCTTCATAGAACAATAACAACGTCAAAAGATTTTTCTATACACCACGACATAGTAATCAATATATGTCGATATGTCAAGACATATGTTCTTAAGAACTGCTCCCTTTCAGCTTAAGCGAAGTTGGTACAGATGTTCCTATTGTTGTTGCTGTCGTTGTTCGATGGTTAACGTTTTGGCAACTTTGCTCTTCCTGGAACCTCGTCGTTGGACCGTCTGTGTGTTGTTCACGAGGGATGATCGCGTGACATTACATTGTCACTTTATCATGGTTTTCTGCTATGAAACAAATATCAGATGTTTATACTTATAAGCAACATTTGTTGTAAATTTCATCCTTTGTGAACAACACAGGGATGCTGCAATGGCATGGCTCTGAGGAAACCGAAGTCGCCGAAACGACAACCACTGAACGACGACAACAACAAGAATAAGAACGTCTATACCAAACTCGCGTCAGTTAAAAGAGAGCAGTTCGTAAGAACATATGTACAGAAATAAGAAAGTCAGGCACTTAGAGTGTAAGAGGACTAGATACAGAAAGACTTTCCATGCTATGAACAAATTCAAAAACCGATACTATTCCTAAAAGTCCGGAACCATTGTATCCGCTCAAAAATGGATGCACCTCGTGCATCATTTCTCCCGTAGTTGCTTATAACCATAAGAATCAACACCAACGGCAGGTAGAATAGGCTGTAAACATGTATGTGGAAATATTACAAAACAAAAACAGTACGTATACATACATATACATATATACAGTGTTTAACCTGTAAAAGAATAATCGGCGAGAATTCTGGGCATCTGGGGCTTTGTAAAATTTGTATGCCAGCCAACACATGTAGAAATTTATCGGCAGCGAATCTGATATAGACCAAATATAAGGATATGTCTCAGAAAAACCCTTTTTAAAAAGGTTTCAATACATTTGTCACTATGGAGCCTATTGATTTTAAAAACCAACACGCCGCTTATAGTAGTACTTTCGAAGAGGAAGACAATGACTTTAACTTCACAGTAACCTTGATTCGCAAAAACTCTAAGAAAGTTGTCAGCGTTGATCTATCCCTCAGCGATGCGCTGTGCATTCGATTTTATTAAGCACCGTTGGAGGTAACTGAATGCATATCTGGCTCTAACAATGACTCGCGGTGGCCTACCGAAATATCGAGCTAATGTTGCCACCTTTCCAGAGAAGTCTGGTACCCACTTGCCAACCCCGGAGGGACGAAAGGCTCGGTCGGCTTGGAGCGTGAGGATCGATCTAATGTGTATTGTAAGTCGCCTCCGACCACTCCGCCACATGCGCCAAAAAGCGAAATGTTTTGATTCACACAGTGAAGTAAAACCTCCTCTTGCTCTTGCACAAACTTCACCGGCTCTACACAGATTTTGCCACGCATGCATAATTAAGGCAACTTGCAAGTAATAGGGATATCGCGATACATTCCAAAAAAAAATCTGCAACATACCAAAGGCAAATGTAATAGTGGTAAGGTTAGTGAAAGGTGCAGCAAATGAACATAACCCGACAAGAGCCAAGCTATGACGGATAGAGGTTACACGACATAGTCGCTCATTGGTTACGCACATAACGCGGTAACCAGCCTGAACTTGAGAGATAGTAGGTAAAAAACTTAATAACGAAGGGGGTTGCAAAGATGATAAGGTTGGATCCTCACGCATTTTATTCCAATTCATACTTATTCTACCAAAAAACACCGAGAAAGACAAAAGAACAAAAACCTTGCTGTAATCTCCCCGAAGATTCCAGGACAATCCATTAAAATGAGGAAACTGCCAAGAATACAGAATAGCAGCCAAACACAGTGCTGACGCATCGATCTTTCCAGTGGCGGCAGAATATCCCATTAACGGTGGTATTGCACCTACCTGTTAAAAATAACGCTGTGTATAACAATATATGCAAAATTTGAATGCTGGTAGTTTTAATTCTGGTTGTAGTAAATCATATAAAAGATTTCGAATGGAAGAAAAATATAAATACAGAGTGCGTTCAAATTACTAGGCTTCCATGAGAATGCTACTCAAGTTTTATTCGGCTAGCATTTCGAAGTTTTGGTTTTTATATGAACCGATGACCCGAATCGATGGCCCACAATTGTTCGCTTTCTCGATGTAGCGTCTAGGTCTCCGCATCGAGTCGGATCATCTTCAGCGAAGCAACTCTCGAATCAAGCATAATCACCCAACGAGGATCTTTTATACAGGACGATTGTAACCGATAACGGTGATTCTCCGGTGATAACCACCTGTTTTTTCCAGACATTGCATCCTGCAGAAGTCCCACTGAGAAAGATCAGACTCAATATGAAAATGAAGACGCCACATAGCGAAGACGAACAACTGTGGACCATCGACTCAAACCATCGGCTCTGATGAAGACGAAGACGTCGAAACGTTAACGGGATAAAACTTGCGTAACAACCTCGTGTAAACTCAAAAAGTTCAACACATGTTGATTTGTCACACCGAGGTTAAAGCAGAGTTTATTTCTGAAATACAAATATAAAGTGTATGCAGATTCTGACCAAAGCCTGAGTGATAGTTCTGCAACATTAATGTGATGATTATCGATAAGGCAAATCAAATAAGCAAAATATCTTGCTCTTTTCACTAAGAAAGCAAGACAGATGGAACTAGACAGATTAATTACTTCCAGTGCTTTGTAACCCGAAAACTTTTAAAACTTACCAAAGCACCTGCCCATGTACAAGCAATGTGAACTCGCTTAAGAGGCGTGTATATTCCTGCGTAAAGTGCAAGATTCAGCACACCAAGACTAGCAGAAAGTGGATTCGCATACACATACAAGGCATAAACACCAGCCATTCCTGTGACTCCAGCAAATGACAAAGCATGAAGTGGAGAAAATCTATGAAACGAACAAGCATTCAGAAAAGAAATGAAAAGCATACGATTAACGCATTCAACAAAAAAAGTGTCAACTGACCTATGAACCACAAGAACGCGCTGTTGGGTACGTTTCATTTGCGCATCATAAGGTGCTTCAAGCAGTTGGTTGCATGCATTTGCGGAAGACGAAAGTAAAGCAGTACCTTAAAAAGCGAATGAATAAAGGTAGAGGACTAGTAGACCATGCAAGTAGTTTGGTACGGTGGTGATACTTGGTACTGGCTTACTCTCAACTGAGATTCTTGATGGACATTCCGGACCCCTTCTCAGCTTGGGAGACCCTGTTGGGGATGAATCCTCTAGCTGTAAAATGCAGCTCGACACCAAGAACACCTCTCAGCCACGACAAGGCGGTGAGCCGTTGGGAGGATGAAAAGGAATCCGGGCGGAAAATTCAAAACGGGAACAAATTTCTGAGTAACTCAAAACGAAAACCAAGGAAATAAATGCGAAGCAACTACAAACCTACTATACATGCAGCAAGAGGAATAGCAGAAACACTTCCAGGTGCCATCAGAAATCCCGCAACAGCTAAAGTATACTCTATTGCTTGTCAGATCCGAACGAATAGAGGTACAGAAAACACCAATAATCCACCGAGAACACCGGATTGTAAGCTACCTGTGGATGTGATAAGTATGGTTAGTTTCGACTTTGACAGCTGTAAATATGCGGATAGTAATCCCTTAGGTTCCATCTTTGTCCAAAGAACCAACGAAGATTCAGGAACTTAAAAGTGCTAAGGTGTTAAGATTCCAATAAACTGACAGAAAACAGATGACGAGTTGACTGACGCAAAAATTTTGTAAATAGATTCACTAATAGTCTAAAGATATCCTGAAAAATTTGATCAGTCACATTTGACAATAACAATACTGTACACCAACTCAGTAGGCCAATCTTCTTCTCCCTAACTTTTCTCTTGTCCAGTTCAATGATTTTCTGTAGCGGTAAAGGCGAAATTTCACCCTCTAGCGGTTTTGCCTAAAAAAAATTCTGATTCAAGCGGCAATACTTCACTGTTCGACAATAACTTTTCCCAAAGAGTAAAGAAAATGCGCCTATCACCTTGGATTATACCAAGTCGGAAACAATAGTTGAGGCATGACTACTTCATACAAAAAGCATAAAGCTCACTGCGCCGATCAAACTCTGAGGGATGCGCAATGCATTCGACTTCACTAAGCATCGCTGGAGGTAACTGAATGCATATTTGGCCTTTACAATAACTACTCAGTGGCCTACAATGTATCGAGCCAGTGCTACTATCCTTCCAGACAAGTCTGGTACCAATTTGCCGACCCCGGAGGGATGGAAGATTTGGTGAGCCTCGGGCGCGGACATCGATCACATGTGTATTGCAGGGTGCCTCTGACCGCTGCGCTAAGCGCACCACAAATACTTCATACACTTATTGAATTCAACCATTCAAAGATTCTAAGGCAGCGTAAGTACTTGGAAAACAAAGCTGCAATAAAGCGACGAGTGTAATTCACTCTACTCCCACAGGTGGAAAGGTTAATGGAAGAAGGAAGTACAAAGAGCCATACCTTTGGCAGTGAGCCCGGTTGTGTTGACGTATGAACAAAGAATGAGCTTGTGGATGGTCGAACATTCAGTCGAGCACAGAAACAAAGTCCATTCCGCAACATTTCTGGGAAAAAATAGACAGTGATAGGGGTAATACTGACATAAAAAGTAAAAATCCCGTTCGAGAAAAAAAAGAGAACCCTTGATCAGCACAAACCCACAACAAGTGGGACCACTCAAGCGTTTGTTATTGTATATATGACCTACGACATAGCCGCTAAACGGCAGGTCGATACTTTGTTGGTTGGGGTGTTGTTGTGTAAAAGCGCTGCTGAAATATAGCTCTATAGAAGTAAATTCACCAGAAACAAACGCTTTAGTTACAAGAACCGTTCAAAACCTTTACTTTAAAGTATGAAAATCATTTAGCAAGGTCATAGTTACGATGGTTACAAAACTTTAATAAGGTTTCACCTATTAAAATTCTCATAAAAGCTACCATGAATCCGTTTAGTGAAGAATTATCACTAGATGTTATTGAGAATTTGTGTTTTCAGTTAGGATATTCGGTTCTCATGTTGCTCTAATGACCTGCAGTCCTTTAAGTCGTTGGTTGCTATGATGTTTCTTAGCAAAAAGCAGCGGTGAATGGAAAACTAAGCGCATTGTGTTGTGATGGTGAGTGTAAAGTGGTTTAGTAAAACAAAATGTCGTGATCTATAGGATGAGAGGAGTTGAATGTGAAAGATCAACAAGGGTTAAAGGGCACAAATGGCAAGGGTTAATGGTTACTACCGAGGTTAAATGACGGTCGGTTTGAAAAATATTGTCTTGCTATGGCTACGCCTATGCTATGTCTATTAGCTATATGCTAGCTAACATCATACCGACTGCTGCAGGATGTATTGTCCGCGGAAAAACAATACGACAACGAAGACAGCACATCGAGAAGATGAACGGCTGTGGACATCGACTTGGATTATCGGCTCTGAGGAAAACGAAGATCTCGTCAACTTTGTCAATTTCGTGTTAGCTTAACAATCCAAGGATCTATGGTGAGCGATGTACTCAAAGCTGCATGATCCACGTTATTCCAATGCTATACGCACTAAAGGGCGCGTGTGGTACAGTGGTCGGGGGCGCCTTCCAATACACATGGGATCGATCCCCGGACCAAGGCCTCATCAAGTCTTTCATCCCTCCGGGGTCGGCGAATTGGTACCAGATTTCTCTGGGAGGATAGCAGCTATGACTCAATACATCGACAGGCCACCGCGAGTCATTGTAAGGGTCACATACACATTTAATGACCTCCAGCAGTGCTTAGTGAAGCAGAATACATGTCCCATCCCTCAGGGATTGATCAACACCGAGACCTTTATCCTTTATCCGTTATCCTTTACACGCACCAACTCAATAGATTACACAAGTAATTTGATATTTGGATGGCCCATAGTTGTGCAGTCCCCAATGTAATTTTCATTCTACGGATGTTTGCTGACTTAGCCATTGTGATTCCCTGAAGTTCGAGGTCATCCTAGCCAAACTATGCCCCAGGTTGCTACCATCACCGGCAGTCACCGCCTTTGTGGGTCAAAGGGGAATTTGCCACCAAATGACTAGTTTGATACCAGGATGGTGGTGGATCCTGGTATTGGTTTACTTTTAGCTGCCGTTCCTGATGGAAATGACGGACTCCTCAGCTTTGGAGACCCTTCTGGGTGGATAAGTCCCCTGCTGTACATCGCAGCCCAAAATGCTGGATCGCCTCCCACCCACGAAGTGGCGGTAAACTATTGGGAAGACGAGGTAATTAAAAATCATAATAGCTTATGCAGAAAGATATCATAGAACCAGGTAATTCTTTGTTTTATGTTTTTGTGTAACACTGTTGTCCACATATTCCGTAGTCGATTGTCCACATTAATATTCCCAACATACTGGTACTACTCGGAAACTGGTGTAAACTCTGTTATTTCTTTTTTTGCGTATTTCTTGGCAACAGTTTTTTCTCGAATACTTTGCTGTCACATTACATTATATATTACTGCAAAGCTCATTTTATTCACTCTCGCTCCGTTCAGTTGAATACCATAAACGGTGTTTTTGGCAAATTTTCCACGTTTCGTAGATTATTCCTTTTTCCGGAAGAAACGCAATCGTTCCTTAATAGGTAATTTGCTTAACGGTGTGACTTTGAGATAGACTATATCCTCCCAAACCGAAAATGATACATCTTCATTAACGTCCATAGCTTTCTTGCTCTGTGATAGACGTGATTATCGCTCCCCGCTCAGTATCCTTATATCCCCGCTTGAGAAAAACACTTCCGATTCTTCGCTCTGAAGTTCAAGTTTTGACGAAAAGCATGGAAGGAAATACCACTTCCAGATCAGGATTACTTCATAGTTCTTTTCTCCAAGCTGGAAGACGTAGACTAAATGTTGTTCCCTCAGTCCATATGAAATCTTACCTCCAGAAAGAAAAACTTCTGACCATGGAGAAGTCAAACCGCCAAGAAGAATGTCCAAAGGAATATTCGTAATTAGTGTCCCATAAGCTTGTTGAGTGTACTCATAAGCCCATCAGACAATTTTTTTATCAGTCATTTCAAGGATTTTGAACGAAGCGCAACTAATTCTTTATATTCTTGTTGAGCAGACGCGAGGTGTTATTTTATTCTTTATACAAAAACAAGCTGACATTTCGGCGGATTTCGTCTTTCTCAGAGCCTGGAAAGGTCAAGTTGATAGCAATCTACTCGGCCAAACACCCCCCATAACCAAACAGAGGAAACGCCAAACCACGATTTCAATAACAGTCACTCCGTGAAATTAAATGGGGGTAAGGTGACAAAACCGTGTCGTCCTCAATAGGTACCCGGTGGCTCGAAGTCATACAGCTTGTCGTCAGTATTTACTTTCCTGGAACAAGAACAATCGTGATCAAAACACTACGCTGAGACAACTGAAAGCCTAGTTTATTACTATTGAATCGAATAACGGTTAAAGAAAAAAGACTGAGTTTAGCAATAAGAGGATGATATGATATCAACTGAGAACTGCAACCAATTACAGGACGAGTGACTTAAACCGAAACTCGAATTGGAATCGGTGTATTTGGATGGAAAGTGGTAAGTTATATCAATACTGACAATGTCATAAGTAAAAACTTCGTGATTTAAAAACATGTCGACAACTACAATTAATGTAAGAAAAATAGAAAACTAAAACAAGGCCCATATCCAAATAAATCCATGGATTTTTTGCCACGATGATATTGCAGATCAGCGGCAGTATGATGCAACAGAGGAAAGGAAGGGGAAAAGACGGTGTGTTAGGTGCAGCTGGTCATTTGCGATGCTTATCATGAGTACAATAGCATTTCTATAAGTATGGTGCAATCACATTAGACAGACGGATCATCGATAAAAATCGAACCATTAACGAGAAGGGATGATTTTGATGAATCGTGGAAGAATAAACCTGCACAAGTTCGAATTACACTAATAAATTAATTACCGGAAACTGACTAATAGAATCGTTCAAATCAGTGCTCCGACATGACGCTCGATTACTGCAGACAATGTTACAACACATTGGGCTTTTCATAGAATCCTAGTGACGATTATGAAGGAAGCAATTGTTAAGTGTTGCACTTTTGACGAGAAACAAAAAACTGTAAGCCCTAGATGCGTTCATGCCTACATGGTCGATGGACGACCGACGATCTCGCGTCCTGGATCATCTTCTCAATTTTTTTGCAGCTTTCGCCAATAGACGAGTTCGTTCATCCTGAAGTGCGCGGATTTCCAAATCCAGACGACGCAACTCTTGTGCTGCCCGGTCTTCAACTTCACGTGAACGCACGTTCAGCTAAAACGGAACCTTTTATTTTGAAAAAAAAGGTCTAAAGAGAGCAATTTTTCAGTAAGACGTAATGCAGTAAAATTGAATGATAGTCGAGACTCGTGGGCTTATAGACATGAACACGAACAGATATTTCTCTGCCACTGACGCTTTCATTCTGAGCAATTACAAGGTAACGATTAGTTGCTCATGCGACTTGTTAGTGAAAAAATTTCAAATCCTACCGACTCTTCCCTTTGACGTAATTCGGACTCTTTGGCCTCAAGATTTTTCTGGAAGTCTTCACGAATCTTTACTTCACGACATGCAAACTCGTCATTGTATTCTTTCTGCTTCTGAAAAGGTTATCCAATGCGAGTATAACACTAAAAACGATGAAGAATTCGGCAGGTGATGAGACTGAATGCATTTTATACTAACTAAATTGAATTTTTCCACCATCTTCGGTCCAGTGTCTCCATCTCCCATGTGCATCCCACGAAGACGATCACGCCTGTAGTTCTCATATAGAACCTGAATGTGATGGTGGAATATGTTATTTGATTCGCATTACAGTTGATCCTCCGTAACAATACATACGTTATGTGTTCTCTCTCTTAGTGCATCAACATTCGTACGAATAAGAGCTTCTCTGAGTTTGACGAAATCACAGTGCTGCTCGTTCTCAACTGTAGAAACAAATCTTAAGTGTATACTCATCTAAGCAATAATGGAATTCCCATTAGAAAACAAAAAAAACTTTTGAACATTTCGGTTTTATTTCTACGAAAATATTGATCACAATGGAATATGTAATAAATCCAATCATACACAAGGGCGCGTGTAGTGCAGAGGTCAGAGGTGCCCTGCAATAAACATGTGTTCGCTCGCGCATCCCAGGCTCACTAAACCATCCATCACTTTAGGGTCGGTAAATTGGTACCAGACTTGTCTGGGAGCATAGCAGCACTGACGTGATTCATCCGTAGGCCACCACAAATAGAGGACAGATATGCATTTAGTCACCTCTAACGACACTTGATGAAGTCGTATGCATGGTACATCATTCGGGGGCTGATCAACACTGAGGGCTTTATCCTTTTTTATACTCATAAACGCTCCTCATTCGTAGTTACACTAAGTATTCTGATCAAATTTAAATTAACCAGGATTTCATCATCTGCCCTAGGAAGATTGTCATATAGTAATCTGCTTCAACATCACGGAATTCCAACCACTGCCAAAAAGCAAACGTTATACACAGACAAACAGACAGATGAAAGTGAGAGGGAGTCGGAAAGATCTGGTCTGTATATTTTAAAAGAAAACCAACTCTCAGCAAAAGCATTTTGAAAACATTCATCTTATACTGAATCGGGTACTTTGAGATGTGGAACAAAGTTCTGCTGTAGTAGCAAGTAGTAGCTTAGTGTTACCTGATCCCTAAGGTTCAGAAACAGTGCACTAACGGAATAACAAACCAACATTTTTGCAAAAAGTCATAGCTAGGGGTTTAAGAAAAAGGATCGCTGTTTCTAAGAAACAGTAGCACCGCCTCCTATTTAACTATTGGTATTTAATAATGGATGGAGACACAAAGTTACTTTTTGCTGATTGCCAAAATTAACCGCAGTTATAAAATCACAGGCGAACAGATGATATCAGTTTTTGCCTACTAAGTTGATAATAGATACCTTCGACGATTCCCCAGGGATAACGGCGAGCTCTTACACGCATCCCATTCTCCTTCTTCACGAAGTCACAACTACCTACAACAGCAAATGGCACCGCGCTGTTCATTTCCGCGTTAGCTTTCGCCACCTGTAATATTGCAATTTTATTATGTTTTCAATAAAGAAAAACCTACTAAAAGTTGCAGCTTAAATAAGAAATAATGTTTATCTATTCTTTTCGCTTCCTACCCAACCATAAAATCCAATGAATCATATAAACTTTTAAAGAAGAATGTTTTTCCTTGAGAAGCCAGAAAGTAATCTGCTACTGTGCAGTACAACTTAAAAAACTGCACTTTGAATAAGTAGATAGCTTCGAAGAAAACTCTGAAACTCACAGTTTCGTCGTCTGTCGGAAACTGATAGATTTCAATTTTGTGACTGCGTAGCTCGCTGATGATCTGCAATCAAAAAAAGCAAGAATGGAACACTACGGACCTACGGATTCAAGGAAATAGTGGACCAAACGGAAACATTGAAAGAAAAAACGTTTATAAAAGCATGTGAAGTGTAAAATAGTCTGCAACTTCCGCTTCATCTTGAAACAAATACCAAACTGTCTCTACATGCGCTTCAAAAAGAAAAAAGAGCGAATAAAATCGAAATAGCCTTCGTGAAAACCTGGACTATAAGGACTACGGGTTAGAAGTCTTTAAAAGCAAAGCATTATGTCATGAACCTTATGCGTTTATGATCATCAATTGAAACTATCCTACTTCCAACTATGAAGTCAACAACAACCTTGCTAAGATATTTGCAAAACTCTGGACCGCAGGTGTCTATGTTGGGGAACGAACGCGCTATTGTCCTTTCCGGGGAGTAACGCGTTCACCACCACACCATGCGGGTTTGTATGAAGTCAACAGTTTTTATTGCACCTAGTTTCACTCCCTTTGATGACTTCACAACAGAATTTGTGTTTGGAACCAGATACTAAGGTACCAATGGCGGAAAAGCAAAAATGTACACTTTTTGAACATCGCTGCTAAAAGAAATTCTGTATCATTTTACTATTTTTTATTTTTTAGTTTTATAATCAACCAACATATGTCTTTCGATTGCTCAACTTACCTGGGGCAGACTTTGGCCAGGCTGACCTCGGGATTCAAGAGAACCACAATGGCTTAACCAGCAAATCTCCGAAAAATGGAGAATACGCTGGAGCCCGAACAACCAGTGACGGAAGGTTCAAGTATCAAGGAAGTATCAAGTAAGCTCAGCTTACAAGCAATTGCTATGTAACTTCCATTTCTTTAACGTTTTGACATCTTCGTCTTCTTCCAAGCCGGCTGATCCGAGTCCACGATCAACAGTCGTTCGTCCGCACATTATGGATCTTCGTAGTCATATCAAGTCCAACCTTGTTGAATGGAACACTGGTCGAATGAAGTAACCTCACAAGGCAGTATCCTTCTATTCAGAAGATTGCTGACTGCTACTGATTCCCGACTAATAATGACTACTTTTCATGTCGACAACCACCATATGGCAGTCGTTCTAGAATAGCAAGCACGTAAGAAATAATATTAAAAAAAGGATAAAGCTCTAGGTGTTAATGAATCCCTGAGCGATAAGTCATGTATTCGACTTCACTAAGTATCGTTAGAGGTACTGAATGCATAACTGGCCCTTACAACGACTCGCGCTGGCTTACCGATGTATCGAGTTGGTGCTGTTATTCTCCCAGAGAAATCTGGTACGAATTCGCCAACCCCGGAGAGATGAAAGACTTGATGAAGCTTGGGCCCAGGGATCGATCCCATATGCATTGCAAGGCGCCTTCGACCCCTGCGCTATACCCGCCTTTAGAGAAGTAATAATACTTTACTAAATAAATAAATAGACGATTGAATAACTAAACAACTAAGATTCATTGGTTTTCAAAAACTCGAAGGCGTCAAAACGCTAGCAGAATAAAAGTTAGATAACAAAGCCTTGTAAGTTGAACAATTTCAAGGAATCTACGTCAACTAGTTCAGATACCACTTTGAAACGCATGGCTCACAGATGAATCAATGAATCAATAAGTCAATGAATAAAATTCGAATCGTTAGAGAAACACTTCAAATGGGGTCATTGGCAATTTGCGCGAATATTTAAAAACTACAGTGTCCAAGATTGACTTTCTATTAATCTCGGCATTGGATTATAAACCCGTCGTTCTCTTTTTTACAGCAATCGCGAGCTAGTTATTTAGCACACGTTTACTTCCATACAAATATAACACATACATCACAACGGTAGCTGACGTTTCGGCAGAATCGTCTTCTTCAGAGCTTGGAAAGGTACACTAACACTCAATTTACTAGCCAAACGCCACTAAGCACGCAGAAGATACAAAACCCTAGCGGAGACGGTTTTGATACAAAAGTCGCTATCTCGCAGGGGATCCTAGAACATCAACGCGCAAACTCCTCGAGGTTTTTTGGATAAGTACCAAGAACTCTACAATGAATAGCAGTGAGGAATGCACCGAGATCACGCATGATCTTGCCCCTTACCTTCGTATCGATCGTTGGTGTGGGAAGGTGAAGTCGTCAACCATATGCGACTCTGAGCGGCAGTTCTTCCTCGGTGGAAGACAAGTGAAAAAACCGGTGGGTTTTTTCGAGAAGCCGTAGATCTCGTAACTATCGTGCAGATTTTCCTCTTTCTGCTTACGTTGTTGAAGTGTTTGACCTAGCAAGTTGCGTATTAGCGCACCTTTCCAGGCTCTGAAGAAGGCGAATCTGCCGAAACGTTAGCTACGATTGTGCTGTACATGTTCTATTGGCATGGAAGTCGCGATTGCTGTAAAAAGAGAACAACAGATTTAAAAACTGTTTTAAACCAATAAAAGTTCATTTAAAAACCGAGGCAATGGATTACCAAAGTAGATATGAACAATAAGCTGACAATGATTTTTATAACTTTCTATAACAGTCAATTATACTTGTGCTCGATCAATCAACCGATAAATCGCAGGAATTAAGGCCATCCTGGAAGAATTCGCAAGGCAAAATCTTCCACAAGGTCGAGTCCTTGTGATGAAACACTAGGGCCGGCTCAGACGGCCACAGGAATTTTGGGAAAAAGCCATGCTCGACCAGTATTTAACATCCCGATGAGGAGGAAAACGACAGAAACCGGTGCCGAACTTAGAAATAGACTATAACGCCAGCAAGTTGAGCGATTGGTAGACAATGAAACAGAATAGAGGAAGTGATAGCGCTCGTTCATAATTTGAGAAAAGGCGATGGATTTAGATTTCTTAGTTGCATATGCAAAATAAATTATGATTGCCTTAATAACAATAAACCTCTCCTCACTTCCTTTTTCCCATAGAAAATGAAGTGGTCGCAGAAAAATTCAGAAACTATTTCAACAAAAAAGAAAAGATAATTCTATTCTCGATAAGGAGATATGGAGACAAGGAATATTGCAAATCTTGTGTTCATCAGAAAACAATGTGAGATACCATAGGAATGATGCACGCACTATTAATAAACATATGGAAAATGTAACAAAGAAAAACTTAAACAAATCAACGACGTGATAAAAATAGCGGCTCTACAAATTCACCTTATTCTTGAAACGGATCAACTCATCCTTGCATGTCGTGTCTGACTTGGCAATCACAGGAATCACGTTGACTCGTTTCGCAAGCTCACGCAACGTCACCAAGTCTAGAGCCTTCAAGCTGGAACGAGGTTCAATTTACCGGAAATAACCGTATATTTAAGTGTTAGCCCACAAACATCGAATGGGACATGTCGCTCAACGGAAGAGTAAAAATGGTTTCCTTGAATAACACTGTAAGACGTTTGAGATTGGAGACTCAAAATAGGGATTACCATCTAAAAACACTATCGGCGAACTTTGCGCACTACTGTGAAACCAATAGGAAGATACAGAAACTATGAATACAGTAACGCACAGTTGGCAGAAGTTGTTTGAAATAATCTTTATCATTCACGATATCTTCGTGGGAGTTCTCAAACCATTTCGCTCTGGAGAAACAGTTTTAGTAGAAGTTTCATGACGAGAAGAAATAGCCAACCATAAGCAAATACCATTTTGCTGACTGCTGATAGCACCTATAGGTCAACAACGCGGCTGAGAGAAAGGTGAAACGGAGGACTGGTATGGTGTTGTGGTGAACACGTTAGTCCCCGGAAAGTAACTGCGTGTTCGGCCCCCACCATAGAAACCAGTGTTCCGGCGTTTTGCAAATATCTTAGCGTCACTACGGTTATGAGCAAATAGATGCAGCTCATTACGACCGGTAGCAAAAAAGCACATGTTCGGCAATTCAACGTTAGGATTCGAAAAATAAACAACACCAGGAACACATTTATGCGCATGTAGCTGCTCATATTTTCTGGATTTCTCCTTTTTCTAGTTTTATGGATTCTAATATTGACATGCAGTCTTTTCTGACAATAACTCTACAATGAGTTGAAAGGAACACGCATATTTCACTACAATGCTCAGTGCTCCGAAACACTCATCAAATATCAGTAACAAATGAATGGAAATAAGAAGAAAAAATAAAGAACAAATGAAGGCACTGAAACATAGTAGAGCTCAAGTACTGTACGATTTAAAGAAATTGCTCAACGACGTTCTCAACAAAATGCGGTTTTCTCGTTTTCTCGAAAATGAATTCACAAGAGCAAGATATCTCTGAAGTGCTCCAAAATGCTAAGCAATTATTCGTAAATGTGCAAATAAATCACAGCAAATCCTTGTGGCTCCACTATAGCACCATTCTCAAGATTTTCCTACGACTTAGGGAAAATACTATGCTCACTACTGACCTTTAAGTATGTTATAAGGACTTTAAGACAATATAAGGAATCCGCAACATTGTTGCAGAAGCGCGGAAAGCTCTAAAAATATCATGTAAAAGGTTGTACGGTACAATTAAAAAAGGATGATGTGATGCGAAGCTAAAATACCGCGACTATGAAAAGTTACCTACTTAGCCGTTACATTTTTATACAAACAAAGATATCAGGAAAAATTTCTTGCTTTTTCTTTTTTGGATTTTATAGAAATCCATAAACTATAAAACTAGAAATAGAGGTTACAAGCAACCGAAGAGAATTGAGATGGAAGATGAGTTGACAACCGGCTGGCAGACAGCTGCAGGTCACTGTGGATACGGCAGTCGAACGAGATGAATTCGAAAAGAAACCAAAATTCTAATTGCACCTCAAGGCCAGAAAACGGGCTACTATTATACCACTATGCATCAAACCATACAATGACTCTGAAGCGATTGCATAACGAGAAAAAAACAATCGAATCGCCACCACCTAATCGCCCTAACCACTTAACGAATACGACTCTGTTAATAGCACTCCCATACAAAGATTTATGCTCACTACACCATCTACGATTAAATATTTCACTAAAGCCTAACAAAAATATTCATGAGAAGTGGAAACGTGGAGCAATGGACACTTAAAAAGTATATACATTGAAGTAGTGATAGAACACGAGGGCGCGTGTGGTACAGTGGTCGGAGGCGCCCTGCAACACACGTGGAATCGATCCTCGCGCTCATGGTCCATCAACCATTCCACCCCACCGGAGTCTGGAAATTGGTACCAGACTCGTCTGGGAGGATAGCAGCACTGGCTCGATGCATGCTAGGCCACCGCGAGTTATTGTGAAGGTCAGATATGCATCCAGTTACCTCCAAACGATGCTTAATGAAATCGAACGCATGGCGCATCCCTCAGGGATTGATCAACGCCAAGAGCTCTACATTTTACTATCATAATAACATGATTCTGCCAAAAGCAATGACTCTCAATTGCGAAGCATTAGAGGATGCACTACAAAATTTACGCAGCTAATGAAGAAAGGTTTCAAGCATTTGAAAAAAAATTTGGAGAGTCACTTTAACCAGTTACCAAATCTAAACACTAATTAAGTGTTTCTGCACGCTACATGAGGATCTCCAATAGGAATAAACTAGCAAAAAATAGTGATTAATACATAAATAATACGGTTATAATCTTCCAACATTTATTAACTGCTCAGTGTTTTCATGGGAGGGTATGATGTGAAATGATAACCACAGGCATACAGCTTAAGTGAGTTCAATACCGACTGGTGCTCCTCAAATTATTCCCGTTGATGGATGATTGCTGATAGCACCGTTAGTGTAAAGAACTGGCCAAGAGAAAAGCAAACCGTGGACCAACAGTGGAACAGTGGGTAAAGCGTGAGCCTCCAGAAAGGATAACAGCAAGTTCGAATCTGGCCTGGAGTCCAAGTTTTGCAAATATTTCAGCATCGTTGTGGTTGTATTTCACATAATACCCAGCCATAATAAAATAGTAGGCTCTAAATAGAATGTCATATATTGCAATTTCGACTACATCCTCAGTTTAGCTACGTTCAACGCAGACTTGTTCTTTCCAGGTTATTTCTGTTGACAGGTGATTGCTGACTGCACCGAAGTAGCCGAGAGAATTGCAAAGCAAGGGTCTCGACTGATGTGATAAAGAAAACGTGAATCCCCTGAAAGGGTAATCCCGAGTCCGAAGCCAAACAAAAGTACCGAATTTTGCTCACCTATCAGCGTGCTTCTAATTACAATTACATATGCGCGTTAAGTTTTATAACAAATATTTAACTCTCGTTGAGTTTAATTCTTTTTCCTTATAAAGAAATCGGAGAAGATACGAGAATCCTAATAGTGGAAGGAAATAGATCGATAGAACGACAAAACCATTTCGGTTCCGATCTTCAAGAAGGTCATCGGCAGACAACACAACACTCCCTCTAAGAAAACTCAAAAACCGAAGAAATCACTGCGCACGACGCATACGCATCCACACCTTAAAAAAAACTTGTACGATCGTTAACGACGACGGGAACCCCTCAATAACGAATAATATGTACACACTATAGATCCCAATGTATAAATAATGGCATTTTGTAGAAGGTATTAATATAAACTCCCAAAGATGACCCCTAGACAACTAAGGAAAACTTCCTGAGCACTACGGTATTTTACGAGTTGAGCACCTCACATATTGATAGAATAAATTCCTTTATCGCCCTAACCGTATGCGGACTTTGATAGCTTCATTTCCAAATCCAAATGTGTACAGAACTGCGTTTCTCAAGAAAAATTGAAAACGAGATATAAATTTTAAAACTTCTCACAAGGACGTAGCGACCACAAGCAAATCTCGAAATATGAGCCTTCGATGCAAAAAAGGTATTGAAAAAAAAACCATTCGTGGGACCAAAAATTGTTGTGCTGTTCCTGTCTGATTGGTAAATTTGCAAACTTCTAAGAATTCTTATTTCAATACGCAAAGTTTTATGCAAGCTAGGTGGTTTAAAATTAAAAGCGACCATTATTTTCACATCAAATGCATTGTATCCAATGCACGTCAGGTGCTATGCGTTAATTCTATATTTTCTTATCGTATAGACTTAGAATATACGACACTCCTACTACTTTACATGTATAATTCAATGCAGTAATCAGTGCTACCAAATCGCCATACTGTATGACGATACTAGTCTTCAAGAAATCTACGTTTTTGTGTTCGTGATGTTGAAGCAAATTCTTGTTTAGTAAAAAGTATTCTAGCAGCATACATAGTTGCTATAACTGCCCTAACGGCGCTTCCGGAAGATTTCCGGTGAGAAAACACGATGGAAACCTGGTTTAGTAAATTTGCCGCAAATAACAAAACAATCTTCTAATCATTCGGAAGATGGCTTTACACTACAACACTTAAACACACTTCACACAATCAAGATTTCAGAGAGAATTCTAGCAGATTTTTGCACATTCCAAATTGACGTTCCCTACAATTTCGTCTCTTTTAAAAAACATTAACTTTTGATAACAAGAATGTTTTGGCTTATCAACGGTAACCGCTACTCCCTTGGAGCATAAAACCAACACTTTGTCCAATGATTTCAATTGCTCTGAAAAACACCTACGCACTCACTGTCATAGTTGTAAATCTGACAAAAAAAGCGCAAGCGCAGTTCCTTTATTACCATACAGCGATATCCGTTAATGAAAATGGCTAGCTCTATAGCGGGAAAGCTACTGTACAATATAAAGAAAATGACGGAAGTCACTCCGCCACCTCCTCCACAAGGTTGTTCATTTTTTCTTTCTGTAAAAAAAAGAGGGTCTGTAGCATTAGATTTACACTGTGGTCGCAAAATATGTATATTGCCTATTTCTTTCCACGTGTGCTATGTGGTACTCGCTTCTCTAGCCACGTCATTCAAACCCGTCACGATCCGAAACCTATAAACCTATTTCATCAATATGGTTCTCACCATAAGTTATTCCATTTTTCCTGCCACTTGAACTGAAACTGTTTGATAAGACTGTGCGCAACACATAATAGAGCTCTACTACAAGGTCAGGTTACTGTAACGTTCACTAGAAAAAGGAATTCGATGACATAAGGGACCTGAACTATTCGTTATATTAAGGCCGTTTTTTCGTAGATAAACTCATAACCAGGTGCAAGCAGCAAACTAACAAAGTAAGATTATAGGTTCTGGTTATTAATGATGTAGCTATTACAAACATATTTCTACTTCCCCATTACTGCAATCTAACTGGGTTAAGGTGAATGAATAAGCAGTCTCTACGTGCTCTATAACGCGGCGTTTTACTTGTCTATAATGTAAACGCTGGCTACCATTCAATAGAATGTTGATCCTAGTCTTTTGCTATTGTGAATACCGTGATAGATAATTCAAAAAATT